TAATTTGTCCTAGGGATCGGGCAATATGTTTTGAAGTTAAAGTCCATGTTGTGGGTAGGCCCAGAATTTCAAAAATCTTAATAATATCCTCAAAATTTTGAAGTCCAAAATTTGACTTAGGCCCAATAGAAAGTAAGCATTCAAATGAACTATTCATTATTTTAATTTCCTAAAATCCTTATAACTGAATATTTGTTGGAATCATTCAGCAATAAGCATCAAATGGCATGTCGTTATCCAACATGAACACTTTTGATCAAGGGGTGGCTGAATTGGGGTGGCTGAATTAATATTATAAATATTGACTTAAATAATAAAAAGAAATGAATGTCTACTAACTATAACCAACTATAAAGAAGCAAAGATTCAAATGAGAAATGAGATTCTTTATATACTAACACTATGATATAACAAGAAGTGTATTATAAAATGACAATATATTGTTTCATTCACTGTAAACACTATGATATAACAAGAAGTGTATTATAAAATGACAATATATTGTTTCATTCACTGTAAAACTAACAGAAAGACACATAATTTCCTATCAAAATTGTGCTAGACAATACTTCAAAGAATATAAATCATCTGTAATCATTTTTGAGCTAAAATTTTCTATAATTCCTTTCTTAATGTAAACAACCAAACAATTTGTAAGAAATTCATCTTTCATTTTCTTATGAAGACTTGTTTTTACAATATTCATTGTTAAAAATGTCCTTTCTATAGTAACAGTTGAAACATGAAGTGTCAATATGAGATGAATCAATCTATAAACCAGATGGTAGGTTTTTGACTTTAAGTTTTTGACTTTCCCATTTCAACTAACCCCCGCATGGTTCAGAAATTGTGGTGAGATTTTGTAAATCCAAATAATGAGGCATGTCAAACTCATAGTGTTGCAATTAAAATTTCAAATGAATTCATTCTTACTCTTTGAAATCTTGAGGATATAATTTCTTAACAAGAGCGTAAATATCATCAATTTTTAATGAATTGTACGCACTCTTAGGCCATGTTTGTTTGGGTGGACATGAGTTTGGGATTGGACTAATAGTCTAATAAAATTATTAATCCGATGTTTGGTTAAACAATTGAAGTACGGACTAATTATTTTAAACTTGACTATTAGTTAAGATAGGATACATAATCCAACGGATTCGTAATTCTAGGACTATTAATCATGGGAATGCTAATCCAGTCCGCCCAAACAAACATGACCTTAGGGTCTAAATTTGAGCTAACAGTAAAGAATTCAATTGCTTGCTTACTAAACCGATGGTTTAATGTTGACAATTTGTCATACATTTTTTTTTGGAAATAAATACGATAAATTGAATATGAAGTGATAATTAGATTAACTTAATTTTGTGTGTGGATAATATACACGAAGAGCTCGACAAAATTGATAGCTTGAATAACTAAAATGGGATTCGTGATAAGCCGCATGGACCCAAGCAGCACCCTCCAGTCCATCAATTGGACTAGAGACAAGCCAGGTTCAAAATTTAATACTCAGATTTAGTTATCATAGCATTAGTCTTGTGATAAAGAATGGTTGAGTCATTTACTAGAAGCAATACTTGTTATGACTAAGCCTATGTTTGGATTGAGTGATTTGGAGAGAAAAGAAAAGAAATAGAAAGATATGTATTTCTTTTACTTGTTTGGATAATGTAAGTGGAGAAAAATAGGAAGAAATAGAGAGAAACTAATGGTTGTATAACACTACTTTTTGGTGTGAGGTTTTGAATTCAACTCTTATAAAGAGCAGTTTGATATTTTCATATTAATTATTTTTCTGTCATTATGAAAATTGTATCTAGCTGTTTATTCTTTCCAAATTTAAGCTTGGTGTATTGTTGAACTTTACTTATCCATTTTGATACAATGAACAACCCCCCCCCCCCAAAAAAAAAAAAAACCAAAAAGGGTCTTTTGATAATTTCATCTACCAGGTTATAGAACTTGAATGATTCATCAAATAGAATTTTGTTTAGAGGTCATTGTCAATTGATGATATAAAACAGAAACAACATCAAAGTGAATTTTGTTTAGAGGTCATTGTCAATTGATGAGATGATATAAAACAGAAACAACATCAAAGTTCTAAATCACATAGGTTTTGCACATATCTATAGCGCACAAATAAAGTGAAAGGTTTTATTCAAAAGAATATTTCAATCAATTCACAACTGTCCATTTCACAGTTATTTTTCAGTTAAAAAAAAATAATGTTAAGTATCATAAAAAATATTTTATGAAAATAATCATAAAAGATTTTTCATCTTTATTAATTAGATTACATATGTAATAAGTTGTAATGTATAATACAAGAGTGGAGAATTTTTTATTACCATCCTCGTAAAAAAAAATTCATGACCCCTAACATTTTTCTACTAAAAAATCACAATAAAAAATTAAAAAGTCAAAATGCTACATCATAAATATCAATTAATCACTTTTTTCTCTTGTAACTATCTATTCAGGCCTCTTTTGGTAAGAGATTAAAAGTCAGCCTTTTGGCTTTTAATCTCTTTTTTTAGTTATATCACATCTCTATTATTTTATACATTTTTTCAAAAAAAAAAAATCAAAAAATTGGATTTTAACCTACATCCCAAAACAATATAAAAAAATGATTCAAAACACATTTAACTTTTTTTACCTCATAAAAAAAAGACAAAAATCACAAAAATAAGTGTATTTTTGTCTTTTTACGAAAAGATGTGCAAAAAAGTAGAGAGGTGATGTGATGGAAAAAGATAAAAAGATAGATTATTTTGTGTATGCCAAACTTGGCCTAAGTTGCCAAATGACCACTCCCTTTTACTGGCTAAAAAAATCACCTCTTTTTTAGATTTTGTTGGGGGTTAATTTGTGACTTTTTTTCAAAACCATATTAAATTTTTTACTTTTCTGGTCAGTCTTATATAGATAAATCTAAAAAATTAAAAATTAAAAAATCCAAAATAATAAAATAAAATGAAAGCCAAAATAAGCACACAAAAGAAAGTTTATTATATTTTGCTTATTTTTTGCCTTCTCGACTTGTTTTGGAATTTTTTAAAAAATTTTAATTTTTCAATTTGTCTAGTTGAACTAAATCTAGTAACCTAAAACTTTGTGAACTTATTTTTAAAAAATTTACTAAAAACAAAATAAGTGCGCGCGCACAAAAAAAAAAAAAAAAAACAAATATAAAAAAAAAGAAAAGGGAAAAACACCAATAAATCTCAAATTTGAAAAAGTTAACCCATTTAGTCCTGAAAGTTTTTTGTTGGACTAATAGGTCCTATTTTCCAAGAAGCTTATTATAGGCCTTTTTATGATTTTCCTTCTTTTCAAACCTCAAACATTATTCATCAAACATCAAACATTAGCAACGTTAGGATTATTTATCAAACATCAAATATTAGCAACGTCAGAATTATTCGTATAATGTTGGTGAAAACATTAGCAATGTTCAAACCACCTTTTTATGATTTTCCTTCTTTTCAAACCTTAAACATTATTCATCAAACATCAAACATTAGCAACGTTAGGATTGTTTATCAAACATCAAATATTACCAACGTCAGAATTATTCGTATAATGTTGGTGAAAACATTAGCAACGTTCAAACCACTGAACATCTGACGTCCTAAACAATTTAGTGGTTCATCAATGTTTGATGTTTTTTAGTGTTTGTTTGATGATGTTAATGCTGATATTTTGATGATGTTTGTGGGTGTTTCACGATGATCAGATTATCAAAACATCATCAAATCAAGAACACCCAATAGGTCCTAACATCATCAAAAATGTTTGATGATTATTTGATGATGTTTGTACTAATGTCTTTACATTTAGTTGAACATCAGATTCTTTGTTCAGCATGTTTGGTCCTAACCTACTTGATAAACAGCAGAACATCAGATGTTCTGTTTTTGATGATCATCGGTGATAATCGGATAATCAAATTTTTTGTTTTGGTGTTCGATGTTCTAGCATCTGTGTTTGTGGGTGTTGGAAACATCATAAAAAAGGTCTATAATCTGATGTTTGTTTGATGATTATAATGTCTGATGTTTATGATAATCGGATGAACACCCACAAACATCGGATGTTTCAAACAGATTCATGCTGAACATCTGATGTTCGAACCACTAAACACCCACAAACATCAAGAACACCCACAACACACACACAAACAGCATGAATCTTAAATGGGTTAACATTCCCAAATTAGGGTTAATCAATCTAACATCAGATTTGTTATTGTTTCTGACCAGCATGAATCTGATGTTCGAACCACTAAACCCCAAAGACAAGCTCCAAACCCTAGGCAGTTTTTGGCGGATCTGAACAGGAAGAATTTTCCCGTCCGAGAAAAGCTCGTCGGCGGAAGAAGATTGTTGATCGTAACCATTGCGAATGCAGAAATTGAAATCAATGCCGGACGATGAATTCGATCGGAGGACGCGTTGTTCGATCGGTACGATATCGGATTGGGAGAGATCGTGAGAGAATGAGATTCTAGGACTGGTAATCAGACCAGGGCTAGAATTTTCAGAGCACAACTCGACAGCCATTTTCTGGAGCTTTCCGGAAAAATTATGGAGTCATTGAAAACAGAGAGTTGGGTTTTTAATGTTGCAAGAGTGGAATCAAAATCCCAAGAGTCGAAAAGGAAATTAATTGCACAAAGTTCGAATATTGGGAAAAAGAGGAATCTTTTGATGATAAATGTTGTGATATTTGATGTTGTTTTGATGATGATGGTTGATGTTGTTTTGATGATGATGTTCTGATGTAAAAAAAGGACTAAATGGTTTATAAAAAAACATTCAGGACTAGATGGAGTAACGTTTTCTAATATGGGACCTATGAGTAATTTTTCCAAAAGAAAAAGAAAAGCCACGTCTACATATCACGAGATTTAAGCGATTATCTATAAATGATAAGAGATTATTTGCAAGATAAAGTAAAATTTGCCCTATATTCTTTACAAGAAAACCTGAGCCAACTAGAAGAACCACTTCATTAAGTAATAATACGAAACCTTACAACACATTACAACAAGAGTAATAAAATACTGTTGAATTGATGAAAACCGAAAAGAATATGACCTCGAGTTAAGGTCATTGCTCACTCTACTACAGCACTATTGATACATGTTCCTCATTTATAATTGCACTAGTGCTGATGTAGTAACTAAAAATAACATTAAATTAAGCACATAAAGAAAAAATTAATAATAATAAACTGAGATCTTAATCCACCACATTTGGTAGATAAACAAGCTTTAATTTAATTTCCCTAGCTAAAAGTGTCGTGGAACTTTTTTTTACCCTTTAGAGGGGTCGAGTATGCCGCCCACTGGCCCTGCCGCAGAGAAGAGCGTTCTTTGGAATGGGGAATTCGTCTCTGAGTGAAGTCGATGCTGTGTAGACACGTACATAGAGTTGCTGTCCGAGGTACTGTCTTGCCCAAAACTCTGATCTCAGATTCCACATTCCCACATTATCAAGTGGTACATAAATGGCAGTCCATGATTTTGGATATACCTGCAATATTTACCAAACATGTGACATGATCTAAGTGAGTAGAACTGTAAAATGAATCAATTGTGTTCGCTTTGTTAAAAAGCTCATTTACGATTGACATATATTCTCCAACTTTCCCATAAACATTTTTTTTCTAACTTATTTACACAATTTTTGGATCATAAGATGTAAGCCAACTTTTTTTTAAAAAAAACTCTACAAACGCACTTTTGTTTAAGCAACAAAAATTAAAGGATTGGGCATATTTTCATATCTTACCTGCACGGTGCAGCGTGCAATTGCATCCCGGAGGTTATATTGATTCCTACTAGCCGTGGACCACAACCCTCCATCCATTCTGCATTTTGAGATTTAACATACATTATTATTTTGGGAACAACACAAGATAATTAACGTACAACTCACTCTCATACATATATTAGCAACCATGAAACTCCTAAAGATTATGTGTGGATTTTTGCTTACCCAACAACAAAGAAAGAGTAACCATCAAGGTGCCAGCTTTGAACGATGTCCTCGTAGTTTTCAAACACAATCTCAATAAAGGCTCTGTAGTCGGTTCCCAAAACTGACGTGTCAAGGTATATCCCTCCACCATTAGGGTAATCAGATATGCTTCCAACACGAAAAACTCCTCCAATCTGGAAGTAGTCTGCTAGCTTTAGGGGGGTGTCTGGTTGCAGAAAGGATACACTGTTTACTGCATATCTTTGCTTGCCATTGACGAGACCTGCGGAGTTGGCCAACCTGATTGTTTTGGTGGTGTTTATGAGTCCATAGTGGTATGAACCTTGTGGGTTTGGCCTTGGTCCACTTGCTGTAAGATTAGTCCTGTAAGTACACGGAAGTTGGTCACTATTTTTATAAACACTGCCTCTACGGTAATTTGAAGCAGTAAATATAGTGACACACAAGTTTTTCCAAAGCAAAGTACATAGAATATGGTGCCATCTACACTCTGCAATGCAATGCATTTTGTACACTTTTCTGTGAAAAATTTATGATTTGTGCTTCGTAGCACTACTGAATTTTGAAAGCTTTCCCCTTTGAAACGTTCCACTTTCTATTTTATGGATAAATTTAGATCAATTTTTTATTTTTATTTACTTTTATGTATAGAATGGTCTGTGTTGTAATTTGAAACATTTAGTATAGGACAAAGTTTCTTTAAAAAAAAAGTGCACAAAATATAGTACTAGATGCAATTTGTAGTGATTTTTTTATTTTTATTTTTGTTTTTTTCATAGAATAACTGTATTTGAAAGCCTCTCATGGACACAGGCTTACAACACGGGCCCTAATCCATTGATTGGGCTAGTTCAATGGCCTATGCCATTCAATGTGAGTCCAAATCACAAATCTCCAAAAAAATGTGCCATTTATACAAAAATAAAATGAAATTAGGTCATACCAAAAAAAAAATTGTGTTTATAACATTACTGAATTTGAAAGCGGATCCATGAACTTAGGCTAGAATAATGTACAACATTGGTTCGACTCATTCGAAAAGTTTGATTGCCTACTATGTGAGACCAAACCACAAATCTCCAAAAAGAAACATGGCATTTGTGATGAGTAATGTAGAACACTGGCCCAATCATTGATTGGACAAAATCGATGGTTCGTTAAATCTTAATCGATGATCATTCAATGTGAGTCTGAACCACAACCACCAAAATAAATGTGTAAATTATGATGAGGGAACAAGTACCTGATAGAACGGGCCTGGTTTAGGGACCAGTCGACTTGGATGGTGGGTCCACCTGGTGGCGGGCCGGAGACGGGGCCAGCAGAGTTGCTGTAGCGAAGAACAGCAGTTGTGGTGACGACTGGGGTGGTAAAACGGGTAGACACAACAATGTAGTAGTCCTGAGCGGGCTGATCAGCCGTGACTAGAACAGAGTAGGATTGGCCGAGATGGACGTCCAATGAAGAGTAGGTAGTTTGAAGAGTGTGTGTTCCCTCCACCTCCACCAATTTCATCTTGTGGCCCTGAATGCGGAAATTGAGTGAATTTTGCAATCCAATGTTTGATATTCTAAGTCTGTAAGTTTTTCCTGTCATCAATAGTACATTATGGTCAGCCAAGAATGGTAGTTTTGGTATAGCATCCTAGATAAACATAAAACAAAATAAAAAAAAACATTTTCTATGCACTTTCCGTGTTCTAATTCCGTACTCGTAGTTTTTAATTTATTTATAGAAAGAGGGACAAAAACAGATGGGACTGAATTAATTGTTGTGAAGATACTGGTTGTTATCACAAAGATGAACTACGATGTTGACCACTCACTCACCTTGTTCAACACTGAAAGAAACGCCATTTGGCCCACGACCATTAATGAGGATTCCATCAACTAAATGTAGCTTCTTCCCTCGATCTAGAATTGCTTTCAAATCCTATACAAAAATGCACATATTTGTCATCAGCAAAGCCATCAAAAAGAACACTCTCGATTACATACCAACAAATGATTAAGTTTTATTTGACCACAAGATTGTTATCATGGCCATTGAGAAATGATATATGTCATCATTTTTTTGTCACATTGTTTATGCTATCCAATTTCTCTCCAACACTTTCTTCATACCGTCATTATCCAACAGTTGATCTAAAAGTCACAATCAACTGCTAGCCATTATTACTAGCGGTTAAATTGTGACACTTGAATCAATTGTTGGATGATGACTTAATAAAAAAAATAGGCCTCTTATTGTTTATATGAATACTCATGATGAATTCCTTATTGAAAAATAATTACTAAAACTATAATTGGTTCAATGGTCAAACATTGCCTAATAATTTTGAGGTTATGGGTTCAAGTCACAGGGCAACCACTTTGTACACTATGTCAAAAATTAGGTGTGTATCACTAATTGGGCATCATTTTTTTATTTATTTATAATAATAACAAATAATATCTTATTATGTATCTATTGATAAAGAAAAACGGAACATGTAATAGTCCTTGCAGACATTTTAGCAGTCACAGCGAACATTTGGTGAAGAAAAAATAAATTATATTTGATGCACCATCTTAGTAAGTCATTGACGACTTCCTAAAATTGAAGTAGATGGTATATATTTAAATTTAGAATGATATGAAGTATATTTAAAATAAATTTGATCAACACATTTTAAATATTTAAAATTACACAAAATAACAAATTAAAAAAAATAAAATAATAGATTTGGCACATAGTGATAAAATTTTAAATATTTAAAACAGAATTCACTTTAAATAATATGATAGAAATAATTTATTAATTTATTGAGCATTACTCATATCATCTATACAAAATACATTGTATTGACCTTAAAACTTTCAGCATGACCTAAGGAATAACTAAGAGACTTTCAAAATTAGATGATAGAAAAAAATAAAAATAAAATAAAGCTTGTCTATTATCTGTGATATTATAATTTGTCGAAACAATATTACATAAAAGCAATTGGTACTAGATCTACATGATCATGACATGTGAAAGTTTTAGGTTAGAATGAGCTGTCTAGACTCGCTGTCTACCCACCAAGTATCATCTTTTTGGCTGGACTCCACTCCAAATGAAATGAATGGTCATCATAATTTATGCATGTGTTTTTGTATTTTCAAAATTTTGGACTGATCACAAGGTGGGGTCAACATATCCAGCTGTCAATAAACCAGTAACAACCACCACAAGAAGCAAGAAGTCTACAGACTACACTGTTTGTTTATAGTTACCGACACAACAAAAGCATAACTTTGAACCGTAACAATAATTGAGACTTTTTTTTTTTTTGGTTGAAAATTTTCATAATTTTCTTTAGGTCTCAACTATTAATGATGTAGGTTCATAAATACATCAATAGTTGAGATCCAAAGATGGCTATAATAGTCTCAAAAAAAGGAAACCTCAAGCATTTTTCTTTCGAACCGTTCCCCAATTGACATCAGCCGTCACCCACTTAACTGAAACCACCTTTATGCCTAAAGTTGTGTGTGATTGTGTTTAATTGTGAGATTTGAAAAGAAATTTAAAAAAAGTGTGTAAAATTAAATAAAACATAAATATATATTTTTTATTTTTTTATTTTTTAAATCGTCTAACTAACACAACGTAAAAGAATTAACTAAGAACCCCCAATTTTGAAAAGATCACCAACCTCTGAGCTAATCAAAATTTGCAGGAGACCATACTATTTGGGAAGTGTTTTTTTTTTTTGGCTAAAAAAACATGAAAAGACAAAATTGGTTAAAAAATCAAAAAAATAAATCCAGATAAAATGTCACATCAAATCTATAATCATTTTACTTTTTCTCTCACAAACATCACATCTAATCACAAAAAAATCCAACTATCTTCCCAAACACAAAAATTTTAACCTCCTAAAATAATCAAAAACTAAAAAAATCTACTAAAATAACAATTTCCCAAACACCCACTATGAAAAACGAAAATGCTATCCATTTAAAATTTGTAAAACATTTCGAATGCGGTGTAAGTGTACATTTAAAAGGTTTCGATAATTCTAGATTCGCCGTTTAATTTGAGAGAACAATTTAAATTTGATGAGGTTAGTTTAAATCATTCATTTTTTAGTATTTATTGAATAAAATAATTATACAAAAAATTAAAATGATTAGACATCAATAGATATATATTTGAATCACATTTATATTATAAAAAAATATATTGTTATTCTTTAGATTATATTTATTATCTATTTTTTTTAAAACAAATATGATTCAAATATATGATTACCGATCTTTGGTAATTTTGATTTTTTATACGAATATTCTACTCAACGAGTACTAAAAATGAACTGTTTGGATCACCAAGATCGGCTCTAAAATGGGCCTCCTAAGCCTAATTACTATCTAAAGTTTGATAATCCAAACCCAAATTGAAAATTGGTATAATGTGGGTCACATGCTGAATGAATGTGATTCATTAATATATTTTTTTGCGGTAATTTTGACATTATTAATGAAAAATGTATTAGACATTTTTAGATTATTATATAATATTATTTATGTGATACTTTTAGTTAATTAAAAACTGAAATCTATAATAAGTGGATTGTTATTTATTTCCTAACTATCTAACAAATGTGAGTCAGCATATCTTACTTGTAAAATTTTATCATCACATGGATAATGTCATGTAATGTTATAATACTATTGAATAATTACCACTGGGATATAATATGAAGGCAAGAAATGGGAATTTAAAAAGGGGGGCTAAAACCAGAACCAGTGGCTCCTTGATTCAAATGGAAGGAAGGAGTGAGGAGATTTATAGTATTGGGTTTAGGTAGTTGCTGCAGCAGTAGATTTCGAACTGCCATTATAAATTGTAATTTTTTAAATTTGAGAGAAATCTAACCCACTGTATAAAACCATTTTCTTGAAATTCAATGCCGAAAATGTAAGTTATGGTTGGGGGTGTCAAGAATGGAGAGGGGTACATGGACAATGTTCACTAGACGGGAATGGAAATAAGAAAAATGCTTGAGACTTCTATTTTTTGAAAACCTCACAATTTTCTTTAGATCTTCACCATTGATGTATGAATGGGACCACTCTATACCATCAATAGTGGAGATTCAAAAAGGATCGTAGAGTTTCCAAAAAATGAGAATCTCAATCATTATTGTGGAAATAAACCCATACCCCGCTCAATTGTTATCCCTTCATGCTTCTTTATAGAATGTTTACCGTTTAAATAGTTTTTTTCCCCAAACTATGGCCTTCATATATTTTATTTTTTAAAAAAATAGAATTGAGAAAGGAGCATATAGGAGATCAATTACCGTGTGATTGGATTTGTACCAATCTCCAATTAGGACTGTATAATCACCAGCAGGATCTGCAAAGGGGACGGGAATTAGAGGACGACTGAGGATCCTAATACCTCCAAAACCACCAGCAGCCTTGTGAAATGCAAGTGAAGGGAAGTAATAAAAGCTTCCAATTTGATCCTTCACTTGGAGAATGTAAGTGAAGTTCTTCCCTGGAGGTATGGGGCATGTGGTTCCGAAAACTCCATCTTCATAAGAGTTTCTCCTCTGTTGAATTCCATTCCTGCATTTCCAAATTAACAAAAAGATTAATGATAAATGCAATTATGCATTATTTTCATTCAAGTCATCACATATACGACCATCATTAACTAAAACCCTATATTTGGATGAGAAATATGTTCACACACACTAACGAATGAAGGGTTGTTTGGTAAAAAAATTTGTAAGTTAAAAATTGATAATTCTTTCCCAATTTTCAAATAATTACTATTTTTTATTTTACTTCAATTATTTTCAGCTAATAAACTATAAATAAAAACTACATTAAACAATTTTGACAGAAACTTGCAAAATAATTTTAAAAACATACTATAACTAACTTATAAAATCGGCCCATCCAAAGCCCACCCACATCCCAGCCCGAGCTCGAGACCCTAGACCTGGGCCTAGGCTGTCTGTTTTGAGGCCCGAGCCGGTCCACTTGAGGCCCACTCTCATTTCCAAGCTATTTTGGTAGGAAATAATTTTAAAAAAAATAAAAAATTGTCAGGCCTAGCCCAGGCCCGAGTACCCTTGGGCTTGGGACATAATTTTGCATGAGTTGCCCGGCCCGACTCCTTTTTTTTTTTGGCAAGAGCCCGCTAGGCCCTACGACGGGCCGACCCTTGCCCGAGTGGGTTGGGCCAGGTTGAACCATTTTTACACCTTTATAACCAATCCATATAAACATTATCAAAGAGTCTCAGCTTTCGTTTAAAACTTTTTTAATCTGGTTTTTTAAACTTTTTGACTATTTTAGTCTGGCTAAAAAGCTCATTTAGGATGAACTTTTAATTTTTCTATAATTTTATTAGAAAAAATAAAATAATTATAATTTAAATATTACATTTTATCTTATTTCTTTTGTAACTTATTTTATTTTTTAGTTAACTTTAGTACCAACTATCTTGTTAAACGAGAGGTCACTAAAAACTTAAAAATCAACATACATAATGATATCAAGATTCTCCAGAAAGCCGATTAAATAGTAAGACTGGACTTGCTTCCAGTCCACCACCTGCAATAGAGAGTTCAGTCCGACTCATTGGACTCACTTTAAAGTTTTATTTTGATAATTCGAATTATTCACATTTTAAGATTTGTTGAGTATATTATCTTTTTAAAAATCACGTCAATCGAATAATTGATATTATGCATTTGAATCGCTTTTTTATGAAGCGTTAATTTTCTGACCGTTTATTTTTTTCCAAACAAAAATGATCTGAATATATAGTATCTATTATCCAATCGACATGAGTTTCTATAAGAATAATATAATTAATAAATTCTAAAATATGAACCGTCCAAATTACTAAAAATGAACCTAAAAGTAAATTCAATGTGCCGAATTAGATCAGATTATTTCAAATCTGAACTCGAGACCGTTTGAAGCCAAATAATAATATTACAAAATGAGACCGAACTACTTCCCAGTTAAATGAAAGGGAATTCGGCTTTCCTACCTTTGGAGGGTCATTTGCAAAAATCTGGCATGAGTAGTCCATATTTTCAACTTTTACATGACATTTGTTCAGATTTGCAATAGGGAAAGTAAGGCACGATGCTCAAGGCGGGGCAGATTTTCCTAGCCAATTTCTTAAACAACAATGGTAGAGACCATTAATTTTGAAACTTTAAAAAGACCACTAATGACATGACACTCAATAAAAAAAGAAAAAAAATACAACACCAAGGTTAAAATATCAAATCATTCATGGTAGAGTCTACTGCCACATCATTAGTGGTAACACTAATTAGTGCTCCCACTCATTTTCCTTTCTTAAATGATTCGGATTCTCTTTTACCTTCAGAAAGTGTACGTTTGGGAGGAGTTAAACGAGGTTTTTTTTTGTCTATTTTAATCACAAAAGATAAAATAAGTTATTTTAGTCATAAAAAATAAAATATCACATTTAATGTATAATCATTATATTCTTCTCTCACAAAAAAAAAAAAAAAAAGTCAAAAAGCTCTTTCTAAACTAAACTTTTTAACCCAAACTAAAATAATTAAAAAAGTCAAAAAGTCAATCTACTTCCCAAACGAAGGTAAAATAATAATTATATATTAATAATTATATATTTAAATTATATTTATTTTTTAAAAACAAATAATAAATATAATGTTAAGAATAATTATCTACTTTGTATAATACAATTATGAATATTTTATCCATTAAATTTAAAAAAAAAAAACAATTCAAATTATCAAAATCCATCTTAAAATAAACTTGTCAAATCCAAATTGTTCCCCCAAATTAAATGACTAATAAGAGAATTCAATCGTTTTTTTAAATCACGTGCATTGCCGACTGAAGAAGTTATTAACAAAATATAAATATGAGAACTACTAAACTGCCTACCTAATCAAACCTTTGTGGAATGTCTTCTATCTCAAAGTCCATAAAGTTGCGTGCAGAGGGAAATTGTTACTAATTTGACGGTATTGACGCAGCGATCTAATTGTTTTTTATACAAAGTTAAATATAAATATTAATTATGGATTTCATCACAAAAGATAAAAAGAGAAACTTTTAACTTTAATTTTAACATTTCAATAAAAAAAAACTTGTTAAATAATGTTTGTAGAGCACAAGAAAGAAAAACGAAAATACAAAAAATACAAAGACACTTACTATTAATGTTAAAACATTATTTTATTTTATGTTAAATTTTTTTCACCATTTTCAAAATGCATTTTTTCCCCACAAATTCTAATAGAGGATTGTATATATGACCCTTTTTTTTTTTTCTTCTTTTGTTTTACCATTTTATCTCGCCAAAGCATATGTCATTAATATTTTAATAATTATCTCCAAAAAAAAGAATTGATTATGAATATTTATCAGAACTCGACAAAATTAATAGTGACATATAGCATTTCTCATCCTTACATTAAAGCAATGTTTGGATCATGAATATGAGTACAGATTTAGAAATGAAAAAAAATAAAAAATAAATGAAATGTAGGTGAAATGCACTAGTATTTCATTCACATTTTAATTACATGTTCTCTTTTATCTTCTAAATTTCTACTCATATTTATGATCCAGCGCAACCTAAATGAGTCTTGTTAACATATGCCCTTAAAACACATGTTAAAGTCTCTTTGAAATAAAAAAAAAAATGTCTAACTTATTATTTGAGTCATATCACCTTTTTATTTTTTATACATTTTTTCGTAATAAATAAAAAAAGTCAACTTTTTTAATACTTTCCAAAACAACCTAAGTAGACTTGAAAATATTACAGATTGCTTATTGCACTCATTTTCATACATTGTGTATAATAATTATAAGATTCACATTAACAAAATTCATAAATATTATTTTATAAAACATTTGTTGACATTTGCCTTCAATCAAATTTAAGGCAAAGTTTCACATTAGTATAATCCAATCCAATCCAATCCAATCCAATCCAATGCAGTGCACATTATCCTCATCTATCCATGTGATATTGGGGATTGCACAGTGATCTCTTATTTATTGCAGGGCCGTAATACTTTGCTATTCTCTATGGAAATTCCCCCGTGAACTTGTCATGCTCATCTAAGCAGAGGCAGAGCACATAAATATGAAAGCTCACATTCACAATGCTTAGTAACTTTAATGAAAAAAATTCATAAAGCTAAGATCTCTAGGAATGGCTATTGGACGCTACTAGAGTCCAGTCGCGTGACACTTCAAACTGTTGTGATTGGTAAAGAAGATAAAATTTATAATTTTATATTAAGTGATTGACAAATATGAAGATATATGATATATAATAATTAATTTTAAAACATAAACTGAAATATATAAAATAATTTTTCAAAAGTATCGAATAATTTTTCAATTTCTAAAAATATACAAAATATATTTTTCCTACATTTTCTCATTCTATTACCAAATCTCTATACAAATTCATAACCCAAACAAAGAGATAAACTTATACCTACACAACATTCCAGAAACTGTATTAATTAATCTAAAGATTTAACCAGGGCAATCACGTAATTTACGTACATTCCATTCCATTCGATTAATCATCATTACTCTGCTCGTGAAAACGAAAAGAACATTCGTTCGGAAATTCGAAAATAAGTTATTCTTACCAGGAGAGTAGAAAAGGCTCATCCAAGCTGTTGAAGACGTTGATAATGAGATTGTCATTGGTCACAGAGTATATATCAGGACCTGGAAATTGTCCATTGATGAGAATTCCCTGCAAATCAGAAAATCAGTGTAATGCTCAATCAGATCCAGAGCACACGAATCGACCAAATGATTAGATGTTTTTTGAAAAAAACCTGTTGGCGAAAACCTAGGGGATAGATGTCTCCGTAAGTGACATTCCAATTGAAGAACCTGTACGGATCTTCAGCTCCGACAATGGCGATCAGACACACGGCTAGGCATATAACTGCCGCTGAATTTAGCGGCATTTTTAGAGAGAGAGACACAGAGAGAGAGAGAGAGAGAGTAAAATTGAGAGGTTTGTGTGAGTTGTGTGTAGTAAAGAGAGTGATAGAGAGGGAAGGATTTAAAAGAGGTGGGAGGTAGAGAGAGTGAGGAGTGAAGGGGGGTAGAGGGAAAGTGAATGATGAGTGATGGATATTAAGTGCGGTACAGATTACTACTCCATATTGAGAGTGAGAGAGACAATCAAGATAAAAACCAAATAGATAGAGATGTCCTGAAGCACATAATAATTTTTCATCAGACTGACACACTCAATTACAATTAAGGCCCGTTTGTTTGGGGTTATAGGGAGAGAATTGGGATTATTAATCTCTTGGTATTAGTAGTTCCCTGGGAAGGGAGATTGGTAAGAAGGAGATAGAGATGGTATTAGAAAAATAGTGAGGGGATTATAAATTTTTTATTTTTTTTATTTTTTATATATTGAGAATTTTTTTAAATATTAATGTTTAATTTTTTATATTTTTTTATTTATTTTATTATTTTATATAAAAATAATTTAACAATTCTTCACTATCAATCTCCTCACTATCAATCCTCTCACTATTAATCCTCTCACTATCAATCCCTTCCATTCTATCTCTGAAAACAAACGGGACCTAAATGGATTGATTAAAGAATAAGTACACAAGCATAGGGTTTAAAATAATTACAATGCATATAAAAAGGAAATAAAAATAATTATGAAACATAATTTTGTAGATTTACCAAAGTACCCTTCCATTTGTTTTTCCTTTCTTCCCTCTTTTCTACAAATTATAATCCATTGTCAACCAACTAATCTTCGACACATATATGGTCTCTCCCTAATTCCTCCCCCGTCCTTCCTCTATTCTTCCTAATCTCTCCTCCATCTTCTTCCATCTAGCATCTCTCACAGTGGGAGACAAGGTGGAGGGATAAGGAATAAAAATGGATGAAAATGGTTTCAGATGATGGGAGAAGGTGGAGTGAGAGGTGGAAGAGAAACTGTTGGCATTAAAAAGGATGGAGAAGGGGATGATTGGCAATGGGCTAGAGTTTACTGTGAAAGAGACGGTAGATGAAGGGAAATTTAATGGAGAGAACAATAAGAGTGTTTTGGTAATTTCATACAAGTTTTCTTATCATTTTGTTAATGTTTTGCACTTTTTTTTTTTTTTTTGATAACTCAGGTATCCCCAACCCGTTGATTTTAAGGGAAGCCAGGACTAATCCTGAGGACCCTGAAGTTAACGACCGGGCAAACCTCCAGTGGCCCCAAGGGGTGACTCAAACTCGAGACCTGTGGATTTTATCCTCCAAACTTTACCATTCGGCCACTTGCCTTGGGGTTTAATGTTTTGCACCTTTCTATGTATATTGTAATTATTTTATGGTCAATTCATTTACGCTGTATTTGGTTAGGGGATTTGGAGAGGAATTTGGAAAAGAAAAGGAAAAAGGTGTGTGAAACTAGGTGACATATAGGTATATTTTATTTATATTTCACCTACCTTTTCCATTTCCATTTCTAAATCTCTCCTCAAATTCCTCAACCAAACACAACATTAGGGAGTCGCTATTTCCTTTCTATTTTACTCAAAATACACTATTTTATTTGATTTTATTATATATAGTTGCATAATACATTTGGAATTTTGATTTTTTCAAGAAATATATTTTGTGTGAAAGGGTATTAATGTAACTATGTATAATAAAGGGTAAACAAAGAAGTATATTTAAAGTAAAGTAGAGTGGGAATAACGACTTTCTTTATTTATTTATAAGTTTTTATAGGGTAATTACAAATACACTCCCTGAGGTTTGCTTAAAATACAAATTGTCCCCTGTTGTTTAGAAAATTACAAATACCCCCTTATTAGAATTTTTTATTTAACAGAATTAACTAAAAAAATGAAATTCATAATTGCTATCCTATACAATAATAAAATTAACTAAATTATTAATTGAAATATATTTTTAATATCATTAAAAACTGTTAATTGACTTGATGATTTATTAATAAAATGGACAATTTGTTATGAAATTAGAAACTTCAGAAGATGGACTGTAATTTTCAAAATTACAGGGGCAATTCGTATTTTAATCAAATCTGAAATGATGTATTTGTAATTTATCATTTTTTAAATATATATTAATTGAATGTAAATGAAACATATATTTGGTGTGAGTGAGAATTGTGTTAAGATATAATTTAGACATAATTTTTACTTGCAATGTAATTTACCAATTTTGCATGGTCAATTCATTTACGCTGTGTTTGGTTAGGGGATTTGGAGAGGAATTTGAAAAAGAAAAGGAAAAAGGTGTGTGAAACTAGGTGACATATAGGTATATTTTATTTACATTTCACCTACCTTTTCCATTTCCATTTCTAAATCTATCCTCAAATCCCTCAACCAAACACAACATTAGGGAGTCGCTATTTCCATTCTATTTTACTCAAAATACACTATTTTATTTGATTTTATTATATATAGTTGCATAATACATTTGGAATTTTGATTTTTTCAGGAAATATATTTTGTGTGAAAGGGTATTAATGTAACTATGTATAATAAAGGATAAACAAAGAAGTATATTTAAAGTAAAGTAGAGTGGGAATAATGACTTTATTTATTTATTTATAAGTTTTTATAGGGTAATTACAAATACACTCCCTGAGGTTTGCTTAAAATACAAATTGTCCCCTGTTGTTTGAAAAATTACAAATACCCCCTTATTAGAATTTTTTATTTAACAGAATTAACTAACAAAACGAAATTCATAATTGCTATCCTATACAATAATAAAATTTAACTAAATTATTAATTGAAATATATTTTTAATATCATTAAAAACTGTTAATTGACTTGATGATTTATTAATAAAATGGACAATTTGTTATGAAATTAGAAACTTCAGAAGATGGACTGTAATTTTCAAAATTACAGGGGCAATTCGTATTTTAATCAAATCTGAAATGATGTATTTGTAATTTATCATTTTTTAAATATATATTAATTGAATGTAAATGAAACATATATTTGGTGTGAGTGAGAATTGTGTTAAGATATAATTTAGACATAATTTTTACTTGCAATGTAATTTACCAATTTTGCAATTGATTATTATTATAATATAATGTTTTTATAAAAAGAAAAAAGAAAAAAAAGAAAAAAGCAAAACAAGAAAACGATGTCGGTGGAGGGGTCCACGCATACAAAATTTGAAGAAGCGGAGTCACTGTCTCAGCGGCACATGGTCTGTGTTCCGTGGAAAAATACAGAGTGAGGGTTGGTACTCTGAATTCTGATTGTTGATGATATGATACTATTGCCACACACGGACGTTGCATGTGCCAAGTTACCACCACGCATGAGCCCCACACACGTTCCCCGCCCACACTATCGATGGTATAGAAACAGAGAGGCACAAAAAGACACATAAATTATTATTATCTTTAATTTTTTACACAAATTTATAGAAGGATGTCTCTTTAATTTTTCGCTTTTAGAACTCAAAATTAGGGGTGAGCATGGTCCGGATTGAATCGGATTGGTGTAAAACCAGAACCAATCCGTTATTTACGGTTCCTGAAAAATTAGAACCAATCCAATCCGTTTAAATCATGGAACTAATCCATTTAAATACGGATTGGATCGGTTTAGGACCACGGATTCACATAATTAAATAATAAAAAAATATATATATATAACACTTTAATTTCATAAAAACATAAACATAGCACTATATTAGTTCCACAATAGCAATATGTCTTTATAATAGCGACATACTGTTATAGAATTTAAACAACCATAAGAAAATTAGTTTCACCATAAGTATTTAGACCATTACAAGTTAAAACTAAAAACTAACAAACAAAAGTAATAAAAGAAGATATTAAACGGGTTTAGGTTTGAGTTTAGGTTTTATATGGAATAAGCGAAGATACTATGGGTAAGGATGTATAATAAAAATATAGACTATTTGTATACGGTCCGGATCGGTTCCAATCCGGAACCGTGGGGTTCAATCCGGAACCAATCCGTGGACTACGGATTTTTAATTCTTCAATCCGGAACCGAACCACGGATTCAAAAAACCAATCCAAATCTATCGGATTGGACTGGACTGGATCGGATTATGGATTTCACGGATTCCTTGCTCAGCCCTACTCAAAATCAAACAGTTATCTTTCTGCCTGGCAAATAAAATGTCACTTATATAGGTACACGATAGAGATTTGCACTATTGTATGACATTTAACTTGCATTCTTGGCTGTTTTTTTTATTATTACTAATCAGTATATATGCAAAATCCGATCATAATAGTTGGATTTAATTCATGTGTGAGTGATTTTCTGCCCGCTTAGTAACCAGCTGCAGAGCACCGGCAAAATAGATGGCACCTGCCTGACCTGTTACAGAAAGAGAAGATTTCGGCGGTGGTTCGTCTACCCGGGGCACTCCGACGATCAAGTCAGTATATCCCTTAAAGATAAATCAAGTGCTAAACTCACAAGCTTGAGTATCAAAAGCATACCTTAGACCCATGGGGGTGCCTCTATTTTATAGTTACCTCAATCCTAATCCCAATAGAAGCCTGACTTCTATGGATTCCTGTTCAGTACTTATTTTGGACTCTTCAAGAGATAAAGATAAACTCTCTAAGAGCTTTATCCTTATCTAGGCTAAGTCTCTTCCTTATTCTAGGACTCTTGTCCCTCATCTCTTATCCGCTTATCTCGGATTCCGATATCTTTGAAGATAACCTCGGTCTAACCGAGATGACCTCGGCATAATGACCAGGACGCGTGGCACCTCGGTTGATACGTCGGCGTCACCTTGCCACGTGTTGGTACTCAAAAATATATCCTCACAATTGCCCCCTAGGTTCTATTAACTCGACATTTCTGAGGTGATGGAACCTATATCAGTACCTCATGCTAGTATATCGGTTTAATCCGAGATCATTATTGCAGGCCGACATGTCTTCTTAAAGATCAAGAATTTTGTGAGCTGTCGTGCACAAATAACTCAACTGTTTTAGCCACGCGTCTTCTTCTTACTGGGTTGTACTCCGGACGCCCCAGTAAACCGTCTCGCACATACGTACGC